CCGCCAGGCGGGCAGGGCCAGACCACCCCTGCTCCCCGGCAGGCCCCTCATCGCCCTGCGCCCACCCCATCGTCCTTGCCCCGGCGGCCGGCCGCGCGTGCGTGGGAGGGGGCTCCTTTCACCTCGGTGCCTCAGTCCCCAAGTAGGCGGAGGGGGCCGTGGCCGAAAGGAGACGGCCGTGGGGTCCCGCCCGCCGCACCCTCCTTGGTGGCCCACCGCTGGCAGGGGAGCGGTTTTTAAGTGCAATATTCGCCCGCCGGCTTTGCTGCCCTAGCCCCCCACGCAATAACTGCCCGCTGCCCGTGGCGACGCCCCCAGCGGGCCACACAGCACCCGCCAGGCCCGGGGCGGGGCTGTCTGGGTGTGGGGGCAAGGCCAGGGTCCCCTGCTGCTGCTGCCCCGTTGAATGTACTGACCGGAGCCACGGCACAGCGCCCCACCGCGGCCCCCACGCCCGACTAACCCGCACCCCCATTCCGCGCAATAAACGACAGCATCAGCCGGGGTGGTGATGGATTTATTTACACGAGGGCGCTGTCATCAGCTGAAGAAGTACTTGGAGCGCTTCACCAGCTCCAGGTCGAAGGTCCCTGGGGGCGGAGAGACGCGGTGTGGGCGTGGCGTCAGGTGCCCTGCCCCCTCGCCCCAGCGCGGACCCGTCATACCTGTCTCGGGCACGTCCAACAGCGTCTGGAAGAGCTTGCGTGCCTGGATGTTCTTAGAGATGGTGTCAGACCTGGCGAGGAGAGGGGCAGTGTGAGGCGGGGCGCGAGGGCGCACGGACCCGGCCCCGGGGGCTGGGGTGGGGGGACTCACTTGGACACCGAGCAGAACCGCCTCACCAGGAACCGAGAGAGGTCGTGAAGGATGGGTTGGTTGTGCAACTGGACGAACTGCTCCCGGCATACCTGGGGGACGCAGGTGGCGTTACCAAGGCACAGGCCTGGGTCCAAGCCCGACACTGGGGACAGGGAGTGGCGTACAAGGCACCTGGTTCATGACGGGGACGTCCGCTGCGTGGGTCCAGAAGCAGTCGTGGACTGAGACGAAGGTCAGGCCCTTCCTGCAGTGGTGGTGGCTGGTGAGGTGGGCTGACACAACTGGGTTTGGTTCCTCCTGCCTACCCTCTCCTTACTGCCCAGGGGCCCCGGCCCGTCCCTAGCCCAGTTGTGGGTCCAGCTGCCACTGTCCCTTCTCAACTGTGGACTGGACTAGTACACCTTACCCTGTCCCCACCTGCCACGTCTGGGCTGGGGCTCAAGCACCCTGCACCTCCCTTCTCATGATCCGCCCCCTGGGTTGTATAAGATGAACACCCACTCCAGTCTGGCTGGAAGCCCCAGTGCCCGCCCACCTGTAGCAGTGCAGGGCCGTCAGCATCATGTGGGTGGAGTCCAGGGAATGGATGAAGTTGGGAGGGAAACCGTTCTTCTGCTTCATGGTGTTGGGCCGCCTGGGCAGGGGCGAGGGGTGGAGAGGTCGTGAGGATCCCGACAGGGCACCGCCCAGGCAACAATCCTGGCCCCTCTCCTGTCCAGACCACACCCACCCGACCCCCCACCCCCCACCCCCCAGTCCTGGCAGCCACTCACTGGGTGGTGTCGGTGCTTTGGTTGAAGGTCATGCTCTGGAGACCTCCGTTGATCTGGGTAGAGGGGAGGGCGGGGATGAGTCCGGGCCTCAGTCTGGTCAAGGGGCAAGGGACGGGGGGCAGGGGAACCTCCACATACCAAGAGCTTGGAGGCACGGTGGTACGGCTGGATGACCGGTATGCCCAGGGGTGTGACCCACTCCACGGCAGAACCCATGTGGGAGATGAGGCGGGCGCTCTCCGTCAGCCAGTGCTGCGGGACATGGGAGGGCTGAGTCCAGCCGCCCCTCCTCGGCCTGGGGTAACAGCCCCCCCCACCGCATAGGACGCCCTGAGTTCCCACCTGGATGGTCCGGGTGGTGTAGAACATCTCCTGGAGGCTGTTGAAGACCTGCCGCACGAGGTAGTGGGAACCCTCCCACACCAGCTCCTGCGGGCACCGCAAGTCAGGGCGGGGCTCCGAGCCCACCACTTAGCCCGGCCGGCCCTCCCAGGGGGAACCACTAGTGGACACAGTCTGGCCCTGGTGCCGCCCACCTGGGGGAAGTCCGGCAGCTCCCGAAGGCGCTTCTCAATCTGCAGGCGCCCCCCGTAGCGCGTGACGCCGTACACCACAGTCATCACGGTTTGCTTCACCACCTTGCGGGTCACGAAGCCGTCAAGCGCCTGGGCCACGCGCATGCCCTGCTCCGCGTCCTGCTTGCGGAACACCTCCACCTGCGCAGTGGGGGCGGGAATGTCGGAAGGGGGGCGACCACCCAGCCCACCCCTGCCGTCCCGGCGCCCTTCACGCAGAAAGCCCTCCCTGGCCCTGCCCACCTGCGCAGCCACCCCGCTGTACACGTCCTGTGGCAGGTCGGAGGGCGTCAGGTTGACAGAGGCGGCGCCCACGCTGTCCCGGCCCAAGGCCGCATAGTGTTGCAGCCCATTACAGGAACCGTCCTGCGGGGGAGGCGGGGACGACCCTGAGTCCAGGGGGCCTTTCCCGCACCACCCACCACCCACCCCACCCACCCCTCGCACCACGGTGTCCCTGCCTTTCAGCCCACCTGGTGGACCGGGAAGTGGGAGACAAAGCTGGCGGGGTCGGGGGAGCGCAGGGCCTGGGTGATCTCCATGCAGCAGGCCAGCACTTGCCAGGGCTCGTCCGCCTCCATCCACCACTTTCGGCCCTGTGGATGGACGGAGCAACACGTGAGGCCTGGCTTGCCCTGTCAGGAAGCAGGCTCAGGGAGGGGGCGGGAGCAGAAGCAGCCAATGGTCCGAACTGGGAGTGCGCGGAGAAAAACATCAGAGGCCAGAGGCGCACAGAACCGGGACCTGCAGGGCGCTAGGCAGGCGCGCCGCGCCCACCCACCGTCATGGGCTGGTCAGCCGAGTCCAGGATCTCGTCCAGCATCTGGTCGGCGAAGGCCAGGCGCGCCTGCAGCGACTCACGCTTCTTCAGGCCCGTGAGGTTGACCAGGTGTATTTTGAGCCAGTCAAGACCGCTGGGGCCGAGGGGCCGGCCCTGGGCGAATTCCAGCAGGGCGCGGGCCAGGTCACTGCCAAGGTGGCTGAGGTGCGGCGGACAGGGGTAGGTCCGGCCACGGAAGTCCATGTTGTGGGGCAGCCAGAAGGCGGCCTGGTGCCGCAGGTGCTGGGCCAGCGACAGGCGATAGAGTGCATCGGCCCGCAGGCTGCGCAGCTCGCGGGCTGCCTTCAGGCAGCGAGCTGCCTCTCTCCGCAGCTCCGCCAGCCGCGCAGGCGGAGTGCCGGGCGGCACGGCGCGGGAAGGCGGCCGGGGGGCCTCTGAGGCGGGGGGCGGCACGCCGAGGCGGGCACTGCCGCGATCGTGGAAGACGGCCAGCACCAGGTCCAGGATTCGGCCGTTGACTCGCCAGGCGCAGTTGCCCAGCTGAGTGAGGGCATCGAAGGCCCCGTGCAGGGTAGCGGGTGCACAGCGCTCCAGGCTCTGCTGGTGCTGCAGGGCGCCCTCCACAGCGCGCATCAGCTTGGCGGGGCTCAGCAGGAAGGCACCCGAGTGCGGGGAGGTCCAGGGCAGCGGGGGGCAGAGCATGGGCACCTCGGCCGCTTCGAAGGTCAGCATGGGCTCCCCGGCCGTGGCCAGCAACTGCGAGAAGGCCGGGTGAGGTTTCACGATGCCGATCTGGGGAGGAGGGAAGGTGCGTCAGGGCTACGAGGTCAGAGGACCCAGCCAGGTCCTCTGGTGACATCTTATTTTTGGCTGTAGGGGTCCCGGGCCCCACCTGACGGAAGCTGCGGAAGGAGTACACGTGATACAGGACCGGAATGAGTGGCTCGGCGCTGGCGGGCGCACCCAGGTTGCGGGGCATGCGCACAGCCTGCACCAGCACCTCAGCCAGCTGCTTGCCCAGTTGCACCAGCAGCGGCAGCGGCCACGGCTGTTCGGGGCGGGGGTCGTGGCCTGGTCCCCCGAGCGCCTCCCAGTGCTGCCGTGGAAGGCGGGGCGGGTCCACCTGTGAGGGCGGGGAACCAATTAACAGATGGCTAGAACCCAAGGGCTCCGCCCCCACAGACAACCCCGCACCTGGGCCTCAGTTTCCCCCTCAGAGCCCATTCGGCTCGGGCTGGCACCTCGCCCATCCCCATCCGCCGTGCCCCCACCTGGGTGTCACAGGCCAGCAGGCGCAAGTACTCCGAGTAGCGCTGCTGCAGCACCTGCACCTGCCCCTCCCGCTGCTTCCGCTGCACCGCCTGCCGGTTGAAGGCGCGCATGCCCAGCTCGTGAGCCAGGTTGATGAGCGACTCGCCCTGCGGGGGCAGCACCTGCAGCACCTGGGGGAGGTGGAGCGACATTACTTCCCTGGTGGAAGCCCTGCACCACTGGGGAGGAATGTTTAGGGGGAGGGGCGGCGGGGATGTAGCGGAAGCGGGGGTCAGTCAGGTTCGCAGGTCTGGTCCTGTAACCTTAGAGAAGGGCACCTGTTATGAGCATTCACCCAGGTTTCATATCAAACTCCTTTCGCATCTTGAGGGTTGGATTCATCCACTGGCGAGTAGCTGGTGAATTGGAAGCTCGGGCGTGCCCATCTAGCCCCACCCCAGGCCCGGCCCTGCGCCACCCCCCACTCCTAGTGTCACCTGCAGCAGCATCTGCGCCATCTCCCGCTCGCTCAGCAGGCACAGGTGCGGGTACAGCGTCGGGCGGCCGGATAAGGCCTCACGCGACAGCTCGGCCTTGACTTCCTGCAGCTCCCGGCATAGTGCCGCCTCCCACTGGGCCCACAGGCTCTGCAGCGTCTCCCGCTGGGGACGGGACACGTGTGGTCACCACCGAGCACGCGCCACCTGGGGGAGCTGGGGCCGTGGCTGTGGAGGCCCTGGGGCCATCCCCAAGGTGCTGGCTCGTGGCAGCCTAGGTAACCGCTGCTGCAAGGTTGCCGACACAGCTTCCTCCTCCCCCACTGTCATCAGTGGATGGGGGCGTGTCCGGGCTGGGGGTGGAGTGGGAAGAGATGGGGGGACCTGCAATCGTCTCTCCAAGAAGGGCCCGAGGGGTAGGGGGTGAGCCCTCACCGCTTGCTGGACCTCGCTGGTCAGCTCTGGGGCCTTCTCCACAGACTGGACCTGGACAGTGGTGGCCATCTCGACCAGCAGCTGCTGCTGGAACAGCCCCTGGAGCTCCTTCAGGGGCAGGTGAAGCTTCGGGTAGGACACAGCATTGTCCTGGGGTGGGGGTGGGGGGGTTACAGGGAGCTGAGCACAGAGCTGGCTTCAGGCAGTCAAGGTCAGTCTGGGACAGCTCCTGTGTGCAACACAGCCCTCTGGGACCCCCACCCTCCGTGTTTGGGGGTCCAGCATGTCTGTCTTGGACCCCGACCCCATCCTTACATTCAGGGCATGAAATGTACCTCCTCTGGGCCCCCACCCCTATGGACAGAATGCCAGCCCTCTGGGCACCATCACCTGCCAAGTCAAGGGAAGGAGAGGCAGATGCACCCCTCACGACCCCCCCAGGAGGGCACTGGGCAGAGAAGGGCAAGGCACACCCCTACTAGGCTCATTGCACTGTCCCCAGATGCTCGCTCTTTTTAACTGTGGAACTGGGTGAGTGTGTGACCATCCCAAAATAAACAAGCTAAAAATAGATGGCAGAACTGAAAGCTACATTGGTCCACACAGGAACGCCGCCCTGCTCCCACCGCCGCCTGCCAACAGCAGGGTGCCAGGCCCCCTGCCAGACCGCTCGAGACAGACTCAGTGCCCCTGCCCACACACGTGAGAGACACGGTGCCCCTGCCCACACACGACAGACATGACCCTGTCCACACAACACATGACAGTGACCCTGTCTCCACACCACATGACAGGCATGGTGACTTGTCCATGCACCACGTGAGCCCACGCTGCCCTGCCCACAGGTCACAGCACGGGTGAAACTTGGAAGCGCTCCGCCAGAAAGCATCCAGACAGCCAGTGAGGACCGAAGTTTCAGAGCCTCTAGCCCAGGCCAGCACCCACAGCCAGACCCCCCCACTAGCGGCTGCCTGGGGCGGCGGGGGGCTGGGGAGCAGCCACTGCCCGATGCAGCTTCCCTTTGGGTGGAAGGAATGTTCTGGAACAAGGCAGAGGTGCTCCAGGCTGCCCGACCCTCTGCACACTGGAAGCCAGGATCGTTTGTTTTAAATGCGTGACCTGTGCGGATGACGCCTCAACAAAGCCAAGCTGAAGTCTGCCTTACTGCCCCACATGCACCTCCCACGCACATCCCCATCTCCACAGGCCGCCACACATGTACACCGCACCCCTAACACACATGCCCACACGCTCTGCCCTCACATCACCCCCACAGAAACGCCATCTACCCCCACGCCATATCCCCATCTCCACCCCACATGCCACAACCCTAGACACTGCCCACATCCCCACCCCACCCCACACCAACCCCATCCCTACACACACACACACACACACACACAGCCGGCCTGGGGTCTGTAAGGAGCTCCCCCCCACCCCCTGTTGCTACTTCCAACCTTCTGGCCCCTTCAGGAGACCTCTAGTCAGGGTTCCCCTTGCCCGCTGCTGAGGGCAGACACCTAGACCACCACACACTTAGCCCTTCGAGAGGCAGAGAGGGACCTGGGACCCAGAAGCCACCTAAGGACAGGGTCTGGGCTGGGGGACCCACAAAAGTGGGGAGGGTGCACTCGGGATGGACGCACCTGGGTGTAGATGTCCCTGAGCAAGGGGGACGAGTTGGCCTGGGGGGAGGGCGGGGGCGGGGGCGGCGGCCGGAAGGAGGGCTTGACCTTGTGCACGGCGGTCAGCAGTGCAGCCCGCTCCTCCTCAGACAAGGGCACAGCTGAGAAGACCGCCTGCAGCTGCAGCCGATCCCGGGCCATCTGCTCCAGACACCTGGTGGGAGGCACACAGGCAATGGCACCAGGGCCAGACACCCCCAAGGACAAACCCACCTGGGACGCCTGGGCTTGTCCTGCCACATCATCCCACAGCGATCCCTTCTTCCCAGGGACCCCTGGGCACCTGCTCCAAGCAGGCAGGCTGTGAAGACCCTGCGAGCCCCCTTCCACCTCCCCTCTGTTCAAATCTATGTCATCACCACTCGGAGCTCAGCCCCTTGTTAGCCTTTTCCCTATTAGGGAAAGCTGAAGCCCCCCTGCCCGGGGATGCGGCAATGCTGGCTCCATCCGGTATGCCTGCAGCTGGGGCAGGGGGTGTCCCACGCAGGCCCTGGGGATGGGGTGGAACATCCCGACAACCCCTACCTCCTAATGGTGTTGGCATCCTGGTTCAGTCGACCCATGCACTGGAGGGCAGCCGCATAGGACACCAGGTCAGGGGTGAGGCCTGCATCCTTCACCATGAAGAACAAGTAGACCAGCTCCTTGAAGGAGCCCTAGGGAGACAAGTCAGGTGAGGACCCTGCCCCATGGCGCTCGCTCTCCAGGAATCAGGGGGCAAAGGGCCACCAACAGGGACAGGGGCCCAGAACGGTCACGGGCAAGCACACCAGCATCGCAGCCAGGTGGCAGGAGGACCCTGGGGCGTGCACGTTCTGGGGGTGGGGGAGCTCGTCATCTGCCGGTGCTTTTCCCATCCAGGGCTCCAGCGTGCACGGTTTCAGGACGGTCCAGAAACGTGCTTTCACCGCCTGCCCGAGCAACGGTATTTTAAAAATCTTTTCAAAGAGCTGACTTCTGGTGGTGTCTGCTTGTCTCTATTATTTCCCTCCTGTTTCCACTCAGCGGCAGTTTTGATCTTCTGCTTTGCTTTGGGCTTCCTTTGGTTTTCTAGGTTCCTGGTGTGAGGTTACGTTAGTGATTTTCATGTCTTTGTTTAAACACTGGGCACAGCTATGAATGCCCCCTCCGAGCATCACGATAGCTGTGCCCCATAAGACGGCGGCTGTGAATGTTCCTGTGAACACTGCTTTAGCTGCACCCACAAGCCAACAGCTATGCATGTCCCTCAGAGCACTGCTCCAGCTGTAACCCCTCAGCTTTGAGATGTCACGTACTTGCCTTCCTTCACCTCAGAGTATTTTCCAGTTTCCTTTGCAGTTTCTTCTCGAATCTACTGGTAGTTTAGGACTGTGGATAACAGACCTGTCTTTAAAGGTTTAGAAAAGCCAAATTCTCCAATACCTTCCCACACCATGGCCCAGCATCCCTAGAGAAGTCTGTAAGGAACTTTTTAAAAAGTGTTTCATTTGAAGATTACTTTAGAAAAAGCAGGTCAGCTACACACACTGCAGGCCAGCACCGTTCAGTAGAAAGAACCCTGCTACAACGGAGACGTGTCCACTGCAGCTCCACTAGTTGTGCATGGGACACGCAACAGGTGTGACCGAGGGAAGGCACATTTCATTTTAATTGATACCCCAGGAAAAAAATAATTAATAAATAAAAGAAACCACATGGTCTGGGTGCAACTATTGGTCTAACCCTGATCTGGAGCTGAAAACGAAGAAAATCAAAGACAATTAGTCAGGGGACAGTTAGATGACAGGAACCTTGACTTCCACGACCAGAAAACCAGAACTGGACAGTGACTGGCTACCCACACTGAATGCTCTGAGATTGTGTGTGTGAGGGGGGGGAGGGGGGGGCACAATAGAAGATCCTGAATAGGAAAACTCCAGCCCCCCCCCCAAAAAAAAGACTTAAAAATTCAAACTCAGCCTCCAATAAAATGATTTTAAAAAGAAAAAAAATTTTTGATCACGATGAAAAATTGGGAAAATAACAGCCTCAAACTCCATGAAAAAAAAGATTCATAAATTATCAAGGGTCCACGAGGAAGGGAGGGAAAAAATGAGCTGACACCAAGGGCTGAAGTAAAAAGATGTTTTGAAAATGAGGGCAACCAACGTACAAATATGCTTGGCACAATGGGTGTCCACATGGACTGTGATAAGAGTTGGATGAGCCCCCAATAAAATGATTAAAAAACAAAACAAACAAAAAATGATTAAAATTTTTAAAAGCCCTCAACCTCACTGCCGTCTATTCTGACTCGGAGCGAGACCGAGAAGACAGCTCTTTACTCGGACGTAGAAAGCCTCATCCGGCGGTCTCAGACTTCTGACCTTGTGGTTAGCAGCCCAACACCTTATGCCACCAGGGCTCTCATCCTGAATAAAGTGGGAGGAAAACGTAGGACAAAACTGAAAATCATTTATAAAAGCCCAGGTCTACTGGTCTGTTAGCAAGTGGCAGAGTTAGAAGACCCCTGAGACGCCGGCCCTTCAACACATCAAAGCTGGACCTGAACTTTCAGCCATACGACAAGTAGGCCTGTTAAAGTCAACAGTGGTGCCAGGGAGGTCTGCCCGCCTTCAACAGTCGACCGTGGAGACCAAAGGGCAGCAGCAGGAGAGGAGGGTGAGTGGAAACAGGAAACGTGGGCAGGAAGGGGAAGGGCACCGTCACATGGGGAGTCCAGCACATGCCAAGAAACAAAATGTAGACGGTATTGCAGAATGGAAAACCAACATGCCCTGTCAACTTCCACCCCAATCCTAACAGCGTTAAAACAAGTAATTAAGTGTGGCAGTCCCTAATCTGGTGGCAATTTAAGGATTCAGAGTGTCGGGGCATGTGTTTCGTGAGTCTGAAGAGGACTTTATGGACTGGTAACCGACGTATGGGCTAGTATCAGACTTATGGACTTGATCTGGGCTAGGCTGGGATGTTTTCTCCATGTTCAATTGCTCTTGTATATAAACTCTTTCTTATACACATGTGTGTCCTTGGGTTGTTTCTCTAGTCTACCCATGCTAACACATTAAGTAAGCTAGACGCAGAGGCAGGGGTGACAGATATTTTGGCGGTGAAGACCCCCAAGGAGCTGAGGAACAGAGCACACGACGCAAAGACCTTTCCCCAGAGCCGACAGAGAAAGCCCTCCCTGAGAGCTGGCACCTGGTTCTGACCTCAGTCTCAGTGAAATATAAGAAAATAAATTCCTGTATGTTAAAATCTAAATCAATAAGGAAAAGACCTTTGTGGCTAGTGACTCACACAGGGGACCACAGCTAAAGGTGATCCTTATCCACGCAGATAATCCCTTAGGCTGCTAACTGCAAGGACAAGGATTCAAACCCACCAGCTGCTCCCCAAGAGAACGATGAGGTTATCTGCTCCTGTAAAGACTCGAATTCTCAGGAGCCCCGTGCAGGGTTGCTATGAGTCTTAATGGATTTGACAGTAGATGGTGTGGAGGTCACCTAAAGACGGCACTTCTCAAATTAGAACTGCAGCATTCAGGAGTATGAAAACGGAGACATAGAAAACACTATGTAATGAATGACAAAAACACAACCAACCAAAATGAACGAGGTGCAGCCAAAGCAGCGCTCAGAGGAAAACTCAAAGCCATAAACAGCTGTTAACAAGAGAAGAATCTCAAACTGGTCATCTAACCTAAGGCCATAGGGGATTGTAACTAAGCCCAAAGCACTAGACTCTCTATCCTGAGGATGCACCTGTACGCTGCCCAGATGCCACATTGCATTGCGTGTTAGACTGATTACAGCGCCCTGGGCAGAAGAAAATGCACTAAAACGTGGACCAACCCTTCTCTCCATTCTCTTCACGTTCAGCTACCCTCAGAGAGCTATGCACAACGTACATCTGAAAAACCTAAAATGTTAGGGCTATGAAGGCAAAGGTTAAACACAAATGTTCCTCAGGGGTGACTGGGAGACAGAGGAAGCCCTTCCCCTTCCTAACAAACAAACAGGGTGGGAGGCCTGCGATGGAATCTTTCTCACTGTGCCCATTCCCCGAGCGCCCACTCACCTTGCGGGCCCAGCCAAGCATGACGGTGTTGTACATGTTCAGGGTAAGACTACGCCGGCGACGGAAGTTGCCATGCTGGGTGACCAACACGTGGTGGGCGAGGGGCAGGTGGTCGGTGAGCAAGCAGCCCTCGAGGAAGGTCAGGAGCTTCTGCTGCTGGCCCGAGAGCTGGTTCTCGGGCCTCTTGTCAGCTGTGCCCTGCGCCTTCTCCTGGCCCAGCTTCCTGGGGGCCTCTCGCAGCACCTGCTCCAGCTGCTCCTCCCAGGGGCTGGCAGAGCCCCCACGTTCCCACTGGTGCAGGCGGCTGGCCAGCTTCAAGCTCTGTAGCCGAGGCTCCACGCGCAGGGCCTTGGGCAGCTGCGCCCGGGCCTGCTTCTGCGCAGTGGCCTGCATCTTCACCTCCAGCTGCTTCTTGCGCTTCTGCATGATCCGCTTGTCCTTGTCCAGCTTCTTCGCCCAGCGGCTGCAGAGCTCAGGGCCCGCTGCCGCCTCAGCTTTCAGGGCCAGCTGGACACCGCCGCTGCGGCCCCGCGGGAACCGAGCCATGTCCACCGTCTTCACCGTCACCTCTGACACAGACTCGGCCTGCAGCTGACGCACCCGCGCCTTGAGCACTGGGCAGGGGCAACGAGTGAGGTTGTCAGAGGGAGCCCCTCCTTCCAGGTCCAGTCACCCTGCAGGGCCCACCATGCCCCGCAGGCCTAATTCCATGCCTCTGTTCTAAGTCAGGTGTTGGGCTGCTAACCTCAAGGTCAGCAGTTCAAACCCACCAGCTGCTCCGGGGGAGAAAGATGAGCCTACCTGTTCCCAGAAGATTCACTGTCGTGAAGCCCTGTACAGGAATCGCTGAGTCAGAATCAACTCAATGGGGATGTCCACAAAGTCTATCTCCCCTGACAGTCTGCCTTGATCCACACACACGTGCACCCACTCTGCACACCCTACACCCCTTCCTGGCCCCCTCTGCGGCCCCAGTCCATCACCTCTGCCTGACACTGCCCATCTGTTCTCTCTGGGGCCACCAGAGGGCACCCCTGTATATGGAGAGGATCTGTCCCAGTCCTGCCCACTGTCCCATAGGGTAATAGGCTGAGTCCTCCCCAGGACCGGGACTCTGCAAGGCCTGGCCGGTTTCCTCCCTGGCCTCCCCACTCCCCTCTCCTGCTCCTCACTGGCTCCAGCCACAGGGGCCTCTCGCTATGTCCCCAGCCCACCAGGACAGTCCTGCCTCAGGACCTTTGCACATGCTGTTCCGACTGCCTGGATTACACTGACCCTGAGAGACCACCTACTCAACCATCGAACCCCCCCGCCCCCCAACACTTCACAAACCACACTCTAATGCAGCCTCCATCCACCAGCCCCCACCCCTGTACACATCACACCCCATTCTTCCTCTCAATGCCAGAGTCCGTGTGATTCACGGCGCCCCTGTGGGTTTCCAAACCTGGAACTATTTAAGGGAATAGAATGCTGAGTCTCTCCCATGGAGCTGCTGGTGGTTTTGAACTGCCGACCATGCGAATCGCAGTTGAACTCATAGCCACTAGGGCCTCTCACTCTCTCACTAGAACAGCTTTACTTGGCCGTGCTTGCGGCTGGGTCTCAGAACCTGCGCAGGGATTCTGCTTTGCAGACCCTAGAAGGCGGGGTAGAACTGCCCCAGGGTTGTCATCTTGACCAGAGGAGACAGCCAACCCTTTCTCCCTCGGGGCAGCTGGTGGGTTCTAAAGGTCAGCAGCTGGGGATCGGGAGACCCCAGGGGCATGGGCTGTCTTGTTCTGTCCAAGTTACCACAACTACCGGGAGCCAAACCAGAGAGCTAGAATGGGTCAGCCAGTCAGGTGGGGGCACCTGCGGGGTTCTGGACAGGAGGCCTTCACAGCTGGGGGAGACCCCTTCCTGCAGAGGTTGACTGCACCAGACAAAGCGACACACTGCAGTGTCGGACCACCCACTCCCAGGAGGGGGCTACCACCCTCCGCCGCATCTTAGGGCCAGCCTCAGTTTCTCCTTTTGTGGGTAGTGACAGCAGGGAAGGGGCCAGCAGTCCCAAGTCGGGGGTCCCAGGCTCACCCTCCAGCAGCTCCACATGGCCCCAGTCCTTCCTGGAGTCTTGCTCACAAGGGCTGGCTGATGAGCTCCTTCTGCAGCTCCCCATGCTACCAAGGGCCCCTGCAGGAGAGACAAGGGGGCCCTGGGTGCTCAGGTGGATGAGCCTCAAAGGAGGAAACCAAAGGTACTGAAGGTGAAGGGGCCCCAAAGTAGAAGAAGGAGGATCGGGAGTTCGGGTCTGACTCCCAGCGACCCCGCAGGGCAGAGGTGAACTGCTTGGAGGGGGTGCCCAGGTGGCCGACTGTTACACCTTTCTCCCACGCTGCAGCGGATGGGTACGAACATCGGGCCTCCATTTGGTCAGCACCCGGCCTTACAGCACCGCCAGGACAAACGTGCCCAGTTCTCCCCCACGAACGGACCCCGTCGGCCCCGGGAATGCAGCACGGTCGTGGGGCAACTGGGCTCTCCCGAAGCCCACGAGGCAACGGGAAAAGGTAGGGACAGGAACCCGGGGTCCCGAGAGGCCAAAGGTCACGGGCGTAGAGCTAGCATGGCCGCGGCGATGTCCCTCGGCCGGCGATGTCTGCCCTCTCCCGACCTCCGTGTTACCTTCCTCGGCCGGGAGGCCGGAGCGGCCCGCGGGCACCAGGGCCCTCCGCAGCCCCGCCGCACCGCGGCCCCAGCGCAGCGCCGACATGCCGCACGCGGCCCGGCTCGCTGGCCTGCGCCTGCGCCTGCGCCTTTCGCTCGCACCGCCGCGGCGCCTACCGGGAGTTGTAGTCCTTTGGCCCCCGCCGGAAATTCGCCGCCGGAACCACTACTCCCAGGGGGCAGCGGGGCCGGGGCCACGCAGGCTCAGCCGACAGAACGCTCGGATTGGCTCTTCCGTGCGTTCGCGTCGAGGGGCGGGGCAGGGGCGTTGCCTAGGTAGCACGGATGCCTTGCTTGGGGTCTTGGGAACCACCCCGGAGCTTGGAATTTATTGATAATTTTACAGGGCTAGTCAGCTAAGTATGCTGTTTCCCCGAAAGTAAGACAGTGTCTTATATTAATTTTTGCTCCCAAAGATGCGCTAGGTCTTATTTTCAGGGGATATCTTATTTTTCCATGAAGAAGAATACGGTACACATTTATTGGTGAACACAATAAAAGGAAATGTATTACCTGTATACGGTTCGGTAGTAGTTGTCATCACAGACCAGCCTAACCAGACACACTGTGAATCCTACAGTATCAAGAATGTCTTGTTACTACCATGATTTCCATGTACAACAATCTGTGGTACATTTACTCACACTTTCTGTCTGCTCCCGCTGCACTGCGGCCAACAGTGAGCTGCGCAGCGGCACCCGCCACTATGGTCCAGAGTCCAGAGTTACGTACCTTGGGGGGCCTTGTTATGGGGAGGCCTTATGTTCGGGGAGGTCTTATTTTCGGGGGATGCCTTATATTTCAGCAAGAGGCAAAACTGTAAGTAGGTCATTTTCGGGGGATGCCTTACTTTCGGGGGACACGGTATTAGTATGGCGTTCTGCCACTTGGACCTTGCCGTCCGTCCGCGTCCTTTATGGTCTCATTACTGCCTCTGGTTTATTGGGCAGGAAGCTGAGGTCAGCGAGGTCAGCAACTTGCCCAAGCACAGGCATGGGCATAGGGGTCTGGCGCTGTCTGTCTCAGCCCATTTCCCTCGTCCACTTCCTCTGCCCATCTCAGGCGTCCTGCTAATCACCCGCAGGACAGGACAGGGGTGGGTGGAGGGCTGTCGCTGCTGCTGGGCCGTGGGGGTGGTGGTGGTGACAACTGACGCTATGAAGTCATGCTGGGGCCTGGAGTGTCGCAGGTCGGGGACTGCAGAGGTCTAATCCTGACCTAGAGGCATCGGGGAAACTGAGGCCCTGGGTCCGTGGAGAAAGGAGTCCTGGGTGCTGCGGGGAGCTGTGTGCCTGCGCGGGGCTCCGAGAGCAGAGACGGCGGCCGGTGTTGAGGGGTCAGACCTGGGCTGCCTGTCCCGTGACTGGCGAGCCTGAGCTCAGCGAGGTTCCCGGCTCTGTGTCTGGCAGGCTGTGGACATTCCAGACGCAGCCACCCCCTCACGCCCGGGCCACCTGATGCCATCCACCAGGAATGTTCTCAACAGACAGCAGTTGTCCCAGCCCACCGTAAGGTGCCCCAGCAGGTGGGACCTCACCGGAGTGACTGATGGCCATCTGGGGTTCATCTCCTAACCCTGGTGGGGGGGAGGGGCTGAATCAGCCTCACCTGATCCCCCCTCCTAAGCTTAGTGGTGCCCCCTTGCTCCAATACAACCCGGCTGGAAGCTATGGCTTCTGGATTCTCTCCCTTTTCCCAAACCAGTTTCCTTCTCTGCACAATGGTCTCCAAAGCTGCACAGGTTTCTGCCACTTCCACTTGCTCCTGCAGACCCCCTGATGGGGCTCCCCTCTCGGGCTAGGAAGTAATCCAGGTATCTCTCTCTCTCTCTCAGAACAAAACGCAACCTTCGTTTTCCTAATGTTGATCATCATCATTTTAGCATTAGTCAGCTTATCAAACCTCTCCATGCATGGTACCCTAGTCCCGTCTATCCATCTGTCCATCCGTCTGTCCTTCAGGCCATATCCCTCTTGTGGAGATTGTCTTCCTCTTCACCCAAGCTGGTCCCCCGTGGCAGAGCTGGTTGTTCTTTGGGCTGCTAACCGCAAGGTCAGCAGTTCTAAACCAACAGCCACTCCAAGGGAGACAGACAAGGCTTTCGACTCCCATCAAGAGTTATCGTCTTGGAAACTCACAGGGCAGTTCTACCCTGCCCCGTAGGGTCGCTGTGAGTTTGTTTTTTGTCACCCAAGTGAACACCTGTCTACTCTCCAGCCTGTTACCTTCCCTTCCCCCCCCTCCCCCGTGTTGCTCTGGTCCCTCTGACCTACAGCGACTCCATGCACAACAGAGGGAGACACTGCCGGTCCTCAGTGGTTCCTCTGCCTGAGCCCTCTGTGGCAGCTGCTGTGTCCACTCATCGCTTCCGCTTCAGTTGTGCAAACACGTACCTCCACTGTCCCAAACATGGTGTCCTTCTCCGGGGCTGGTCTCTCCTGACATGTCCAAAGCTGACCATCTTTACCTCTAAGGAACACTTTGGCTAAACTTCTTCCAAAACAGATTTGGTTTGGGTTTTTTTGTTCTGTTTTTTTTTTTTTTGGCAGTTGTGTTAGTCCGGGTAGACTAGAGAAACAAACTCATAAACACGCATATGTATATAAGAGAGAGTTTTATATAAAGGGTAACTGTACTTTAAGAGCGGGACATGATCCAGGAGGTGTGTGGCTTTGCACCCTACGAGCGAAGGGCCATGGAGCTGCTCATGGTCTCCAAGGACAAGCGGGCGCTTAAGTTCATCAAGAAGCGGGTGGGCACACACATCCGGGCTAAGAGGAAGAGAGAGGAGCTAAGCAACGTGCTTGCCGCCATGAGGAAGGCCGCCGCCAAGAAGGACTGAGTGCCATGTCATCGTTACCCCCCACCCCCAATAATAAAGCCTTTCCAGAAAAAAAAAAAGAAAAGAAAACATCCCAACCCAGTCCAGTCCGAGGGCATAATCTACAAAGTCCTCTTCAGACTCATGAAACACATGCAATGACGCCGAATGCAGAAGATCACAGGCCGGTGGGGAGAAAGTCTGTGGTGGTAGAAGCATCTCAGCGCTGGCAGGCGTCTCCACATGGCCATCCCAGTTCCCAGGGCGGCATCAGGGTAGGTCTTTGTGGCATCTCCTCAGGGAAGCCTCTCAGGAAGTCAGCCTTGTCAGTAGAGAGTCTCCAAGGGAGTGAACCGAGAGAGATAGTGTCTCCTGCCTCCAAGGAGGAAGCACCAGATTTCCCAGAATTCTCAGGAGAAGGCCATGCCCACAGAGGTCTCATTGGCCATGTCCAGATTGACAGCCTGGACTCCACCCCACACCCTGAATCCTTCAATTGACACCGGATTAGGGACTGCCCCAGCAGTCCATGGCACTTCCAGTGTCCTCCAGCACCACAATTCAAATGCAGCGACTCTTTTTCGGCCTTCCTTATTCAGTGTCCAACTGTCACAAGCACACGAGGCCATTGACAAGACCATGGCTGATGGCAGCAGAGGCCCAAATGCCTTTGCAGGAGCTGCACATGGAATGAGCCTCCCTTGATTTACCCTCTGACCATATGTGAGGGGGGAATAACTCAGTTGTCACATGGAGTGTATTGGGGAGGTGACTGTAGTGAATTAAGATGGTCAGCCTGACTTGAAGGGTTAAAACCGGTCCTTTGATCTCCCTTTTGATGCCACTTGGAGCTTGATTTGATGTGTAATGCTTTCTGTCTGGTTGTTCACACTGTGGCTGATCTGCCGCGTTTGGTTTTCCGGGTAGAGTTCTTGACTCTCTGTCACGGATCTGTCTGTTTTCTGGTTCGTGAGACCCAGGCTGGGTGAATCTCTGGGGAAAGGACCTGAGATACGGACTCGGAGGGTGCATGCCAGGGCAGCAGGGAGGGTGAGGCGGGGGCAGATCCCAACGAGAACAGGCAGGAAGAAGATATTTTGAAACTGATTTTTTCGCAGTGGTCTTGACTGCCAAGCACTGCTTGATAAGACCGGACTCTTGAACGGCATGATGTCTGGATTGTGTCCTAGTAAAGTGATTTGAAAAACAAAACAAAAACACCACGGCTTGGGTCAGACACAGGCACCGTGTGCCTCACCCAGCATCCGATCCTTCAACTCCACCCATGTCAAGAGGTGCAGCACAGCTCCCCAAGATTCTGTGAGGAGGCGGAGCATTCCGTTCTGCGCAGGAGGGCTGACTTAACCGACCTTCTCTGATTTTCTCCTCTGGATCTTAACACCCACCGCAATGAGCGCAGAGACTTCACAGGCAAATGTCATGACGAAGGGGTTCAGTAAGGAAGCTCACAAGTTGTAACATGAATGAGGAATAATGCTCAGGTTGAGGGGTTGAGTTGTTTGACAAAGTTCTCTCCAGCCTGCGCATAACTGCCCAAGGGGGCCTGTCACTCTGCTGTAAGCCTCAACCCAGTGAGGCCCACATGCTCACTCCCCTTCCGGGGGCTCAGCTCCCCCAATTAAGTGCCCAGAGGCACCCCACTCCGCAAGCCAGCCCCCGCACAGAAGCACCAGCTTCCCCTGCTGCCTGGGCTGGGAAGTCCACCCCTCTGTCCCCTGCCCTGGCTGCTGGGTCTGCTGCCGCTCCTCCGATGACACAGCTGTGTCTGGATTCAGGCGGCCCGTTGCGCAGGGATCTCGGGTCCAGAGGACGCGCTCTGCTCCTGGCTCTTGCTGTAATGCATACCTCCTCTGCTCCTCAGAGGGCTCCTGCTCTACTCAACAGGGTGGGCCTGGCCGGGAACCAGGCTCACAGTGACTTCCAGGCAGATCCTTAGTACCCCCCACCCCAGCCCCACCCCGCGTTCTTACCAGGGCCATGCAGGTGTGTAGTATTAAATAAAAAAATTTGGCGCTGGGGAGTGAAGGGGCCAGCCCCCACCCGTTGACACTCTACGAGTTCAGTAATATTACTTCTGGGTTCAGTCATGCACAATTATACGGTTGAGATATATAAGCATTATATTAAAGTCATCGAGAGCATGAGAGATAATACAGTAATACAGTCAGGCATGTTACATGGTACCATTGCTCACCTCAGCCCAGCTTGGTGGTCCACGTGGAGAGAGGGGGAAGGGAAGGAGGG